CCCCCCCCCCCAACCCCCGCCTACCAGGTGTGGAGAAAATGCCGGATGCGCATCTTCACGGTGGCCCAGGTGGACGACAACAGCATCCAGATGAAGAAGGACCTTCAGGTGTTCCTGTATCACCTCCGGATCAGCGCCCAGGTGGAGGTGGTGGAGATGGTGAGGCGTGCGGACTGCCGGCGGTTCTGGGTTCAGGGGTCCCCGCCCACCTGTCACAGCCGTGGGCTGGCCGGCGCTCGGCTCCCGGGCTCGACCTGATGGTCGTGCCCACGCGTTCCGTGTTGTGCAGACCGCCGCTCCAGTGTTCTCTCGGGGCTGGACTGGGCCTGTGAGTTTAGGGGTTTATGGTCAGGGGACCCTAGAAGTGACGCACCCTTCTGGGCATGTCTCATAAGTCGGACGTGACACCCAGCCTGTCACAGGTCGTGAGCCTGGGGTCCAGGCCCCCGTGTTCCCATCTCCAGGCTCTTGGGTGGGAGCAGGTCCCCGGGGCCGTGGGAGCACCGGCGGCCTCTCCCCAGGCAGCGTGCCCCCAGCAGGCTCTCGGGAGCGGTGGACAGGGCTCAGGCCCTGAGGGGGCAGAGGAGGTGGTGTGTGCCCGACACGGACCCCGCCCGGGGCCGGTGGGAGGACCCGGCGTCGCCCACCAAGCGTCATGCCAGGGCTGGGGAAGATCCCGACCCCACGGTCAGCGGGAGAGCTCCGGACTCACCCTGCGTGGCCGCCGGCTCTCCCGGCACAGGAATGGCTCCTGTTGGCTGTGGTTGCAACTTCGTGTGGGGCGTGGCATGCGCTTGGCGTGGGTTCCGTCAGGGTCCACGCTGCATGTCCGTGAGCAGATGTGCGTTCAGCTGTGGCGGTTGTCCCCCCCCGCCACGTGGTCACAGCATGGTCACGCCCCTGCAGGCGTGCCCGTGTGGAACTCACACGCCTGGGGCACCTGTTCACTTCCGTGCCTGGGGGCTCCCTAGGTCGAAAACGACATCTCGGCGTTCACGTACGAGAAGACGTTGATGATGGAGCAGAGATCCCAGATGCTGAAGCAGATGCAGCTCTCCAAGACCGAGCGGGAGAGAGAGGTGCGCGTGCGGGTGCCCGCTGCGCCCAGCCGGCCTGTGCCCCGCGTTCTCGCCTGGCCAGCAGGACCGATCTTGGCGGTCTCTGGAGCCGTGCGCCCCCAAGCCGGGTCTTCTGAATGGGCGGTGGCACGATTCTGCCTCCGCCTCCTCTCCCTACCCGCTCCGGGTGTGAGGGCACGCGCCCTCCCAGGCCCCGGCGGCCCCCGTCCACATACGCGGGTGTGCTCAGAACCGGCGCCTGCCGTGTCGAGTGCAGAGACTTCTGGGTACAAATGTCCCCTTGTCCTGGGCTTTTCTCCGTGGCCCTCAGAACCAGGGCAGGAAGCAGAGGAGGAAGAGGAGACGAGTTTGGTCTGGAAGCTGGGGGTGGGGTGGCATTGGGTCCCCTGCAGGGAGGGCTGGTCCCGGGGTCCCGACCTTTCTTCCCGGGAGAGTTTTGGAGACCTTCCTGTTCGTGTGCCCTGATTCCCTGCCAGGCCCAGCTCATCCACGACAGGAATACCGCATCCCATTCAGTGGTGGCCACCAGGACCCAAGCCCCACCCACACCGGACAAAGTGCAGATGACCTGGACCAAGGAGAAGCTGGCCGCCGAGAAGTTTAAGAACAAGGAGCCAGGCGCGTCCGGGTTCAAAGACCTCTTCAGCCTGAAGCCGTGAGTGTGGCCCGCGGGCTCCCGGGTGGCAGGTCCTGGCTGTCACAGAGCTGGGGCTGGGCAGGCCCGAGGGCCACAGTCTGTTCTCGGGGCCTGTTTGCCAGATCTGGGATCCCAGCAGTCAGGGGTCAGTGCCAGCTGTGACCCCGCTGATTGTGCAGGCTACCTGCCGGGGCCTGGGTGCTGCCTGTGGCGTTGGGCCGAGAGCCCCAGGGTGGGCGCAGGTGCAGGTGGGGGGTGCCGGGTGGCGTGGCTGTGCCGGGAGGCCCCCCGCCCCGGGGTTTTCAGTGAGGACCAAAGCCCCAGGGCCTTGTGTTGTGGGGAAGGGCATGGGGGTCAGACCCTGTTGTGGAGAAGGACCAGGTAAGCCGGGGAAGGGCAGCTGGGCTGTGCCCGCGGTTGTTTAAACGTGTTCATTGTGCACACTCTTGAAGTAACCTGTTCTTGTGTTTTCTCCTCCTTGTAGAGAATGGGGAAGTCTGTAAGTGCTCTCCTGCTGTTTAGGATGCTTCTTAGCCTGTCTTCTCGCATGCTGGGCACACACTGCTTGTGAACCGTGCACATGTCCACGTGTGTGTGTGCGTGCCCAGCCCTGGGTGTGTGCATGTGCGTGCACGGCCCTGCATGTATGTGTGCGCGAATGGCCCTAAGCATGTGTGTGTGTGCACGGTCCTGTGTGTGTGTGTGTGTAAGCATCGCCCCGAGTGTGTGCATGCACAGCCCTGAATGTGTGTGTGTGTGGCCCCGAGTGTGTGTCTGCACATGCACGGCCCTGCGTGTGTGTGCATGTGTGCACATGACCCCAAGCGTGTGTGTATGCACACGGCCCTGTGTGTGCGCGCGTGTGTGTGCACGGTCCTAAGTGTGTGCGTACACAGCTCTGTGTGTGTGTGCACGTACAGCCCCCAGTGTGTGTGCATGCACGGCCCTGAGTGTGCATGTGCTCGCACGCAGGAGTCTGCCTGCTGCCGCTGTGGCTTTCAGTGGTTTTCTACTTAACTCGCTCCCCTCTGTGCAGAGTGGCTCAGGGCACACGGCTGAATCCCTTCTCTGATGCTGTGAGGGCTGAGATGGGGGGAGGGGGCTCGTCCTGAGCTGCCTCTGGAGCAGAGAGAAGCGGATGCTTTGGTAGCTCTTAGAGAATCTGTCCACACCCTGGGGCTGAGCGTTCGGTCTCTGCAGGCGACCGTACGTCGTCCTACTCTGCGGCCCTGGGTACCGTTCACCCCAGGAAGCTGCTGGCCTTGGTGTGAAGAGGGGTGTGGGCAGATCCTATGTGTGCTCCGGTGCTGGGGGGCAGCTGGACGGGCAGGAGGGGGACCCGCCCTGAGGTCGCTGCGCGTACCCCTGCCCCCCACGCCTGCGGTGTGTCCCCTGCGGTGGTGGCCACCCGGGGGGTATCCGTAGTGCAGCGCTAGAGGCCGGGGGGCCCCGGAACCCTGTGCATCACACTGAGGACACGGGCGGGTGTCAGTCTATTGAGGGAGCAAAGCTGTAGATGTGTCTGGGAATCGTGGGGAAGAGCAGGGACACGGGGACTCTGGCGTCTACTTTTCTGTGAACTTCAAAGCGCTCCCCAGATAAGGTCTGTCAAAACCCAGACACGGACATGCAGGACTAACTAGGGTTTCTCCCCTAAGATGCTGTGAAGAACATGGGCCTGCAGATCCTGTCCCCAGGAGGGCATGAGGCTGAGGTGGGGAGGTCAGCCCGCAGGGGGCACGGGGCTGACAATCGTGGTGTCCCCAGGGGTGGTCGTACCTCTGTTGTGCCTGTTGTCCTGGCCGTGTGCCCACCAGGAGCCGAGGGACCAGAGCCCTGACTTTGCTACGGCACCGCCCCCCCCCCCCCCCCACTCTCCTGCGCTGGGCTCAGAGCGCTTACGGCAACGTTCTGTACATTGTGGACTCATGGCCCACTGTCGGGAACAAACACAGCTTTCCGTTGGCTTCCTGTCCCTCTCCGCGCCTCTTTGACCTCCACGAGGCACGTCGCCCTGGAGCCGAGGGCCCTTCCAGCCAGACCCAAACCCCTGATTTTAAGATTATATGTGTTTTCAAAACTTTTAGCCGTAGGAGACCCTCTAATGTCACACACACTCATTTCTGGAGTTGCTGTCGTCCCCAAACACTGGTGATTGTGGTCTGTTCAGGCAGTAATGCGTGGTTCTTGTAACAGAGTGTCCCTGGTTGTGGCCCGGACAGATCCCCAGCCTGTAATTTTATCAGGCGAAACTGCAGAGAAAGAAGGGGGCCCGGCTCCCTGCCTTCCTTCTGGGAATCAGGGGTTGCGATAGCATTTATTCAGCTGCAGGGCTGAGCTTTTGAAAGGTGCATCCTGGACGCCACTCCTGTGGGCCTTGCACTGACCCTGGTGTGGGGGGACCTCTGTCCCTGTTGTCTGGGGCACGGCGACCTGCTCCCAGAAGGGCTGCCCGCGGATTCCGTCCTGCAGGAGACCCGGGCTCAGGGGACATGCGTGTCAAGGAGGCAGGCAGCTCTCCCAGGCAGTGTCTCCCAAGTGCCTCCCGGGACACGGTTCGGGGTGGGGGTGGTGCCCCACACAGCCACCTGACGCATGTGGTGGCCGAGAAAGAGGTCCTGCAGCTACTCGAGCTCCAGGGAGTGCCGGTGGGCAGGCGGCTGCCAGGGACTCTCCCCAGGGGGTCATCAGAGCCCAGCGGGCGCCCTGCCCGCGCTGTGGATCCCGCAGACCCGGGTGGCTGGCAGGGACGGGGTGCGGGGCCTTCTTGCTGAGCATTGGAAGCTCTCGCCCTTCCGCCATCGGCCAGGAGCGCTGGGTTGAGAACGGGGTGGACCCTGGCGGTGGCCTCGTTCTTGCCCAGAATCTCCAGGCCTGGAGCCGCACGGCACGTGCGAGGCTCCTGGGACCCCAGCCGGGTCAGGACGAGGGAGATGCTGCCGTGTGCACCCCGTTGGGCGTGCTAACCTCAAGGCCACGTGTGAGCAGGGCTAGGCCGTGGCGTTGGGGCCTGCCCCGGGGGAGCTTAGAGCAGTGGGTGTGTGAGTGCCTTTCGTGCCTGGTGGTGAGCTGTCCCCGGCCCCCCGGGGGACACTGCACGCAGATGTAGAAGCTTGGCAGCTTGGTGACACCCGGTCTAGAACGTTCGGGAACCAGAGCCTTCTCGTGCTGAGTGGTCGTCCCCGGCCCGTGCCCGCCAGCCTCGCACAGGGTCACCTCCCCTGTGGGTTCTCTGGGGAGTTGACGCCGTTTGAGTCTGATTTGATTTTGCCCGGGACCGAGATGGGCAGACGGGGCTCGGGCCGGCACGGCCATGGGCGTCAAGTGGCCATCTCCCCGCAGGAACCAGTCCAACGTCCGGCGGATGCACACGGCCGTGAAGCTTAATGGTGTCGTCCTCAGCAGGTCCCGGGGGGCTCAGCTGGTCCTGCTAAACATGCCAGGACCCCCCAAAAACCGGCAGGGGGACGAGAACTGTATCCTTTCCGTGTGCCGCCTGTGGGGCGGGGTGAAGGCAGTGCCCGCGGGGACGTGTCTGGCTTCGCTGCCCTTGCTCACGGGATCCCAGGGGCTGGGGTCGGAGCGGGGGCCAGCCTGGTCTGAGTGCCAGGAAAGCAGGGTCTGGGGGGCAGTTCCCAGCGAATGGCTCCTGGTTGGTGTTGGGGCGTTGGCAAAGGTGAGGGAACCGTACACGTGCCGAGGGTCCTCGGCGGAGGCCCTCGGTGAGGAACACGGGACCCCCAGGAATTAGTACCACGAGCAGCGACCTGGGACCCTGCCCGGTGCTGGCTCTGCTCCCGGGCGTCTTCTTAGCACGTGGGGGCAGCGTGTTCCCTCCGTTGTGGATGAGCCGAGCGGCCGCACAGATGGTTCCCCCGAGTCCTCCCCAGTAGGCGGGCCTGCCGCCCCTCCTGGCTGGGTGGAGGTCCCAGGTCGGCTCCACCCCGAGCTGGGCTCGCGGCCTTTGACCGTGTGCCCCTGTCCTATGACAGGGTCTCTGGGGTGCGGCCCCTCCCCCCACCCCGGCAGTGGGGACAGGGAGGCTGGAGGGGTCGCTGGCAGCTGTCAGAGGCTGCAGGACTTGTGCTGACCAGACCGGGACTTGCGGGCCTGTGTGGGTCCTCGGGGGACTTGCCCGGCTGCGCCCAGAGCCCCAGGGTGGGGGGTGGGGGGCGGGGGGCGGGGGTCTCCTCAGGTCCCATCGGGCCGGCTGCAGGAGCGGGCTGACCCCCGAGTGCCCTCCGCCCTGCACCTGGCCAAGGCCTGCACTGGGCTTCGTTGGTGCCACCAGCCACGCTGCGGGGCCCCCTCTCCCACACACCCACCTCCCTCTCCCGGGGACTGCCGGCGGTGCCCCCAGCTGTGTCCTTAACTCCGGCGCCCAGACATGGAGTTCCTGGAGGTCCTGACCGAAGGACTCAACAGGGTCCTCCTGGTCAGGGGCGGCGGCCGGGAGGTGGTCACTATCTACTCCTGACACGCCGGGCGGGCTGGGAAGTGTGCCCCGTGTGGCTTCATATACAAGTTTCCAGAATGGCCCCACAGCACTCCTCTCCGGGCCAGGAGCCAGCACGCAGCTGCCGAGGTTTCCTCGTTTGGAGGGGAGACGTCGATGCTCGAGGGGACCTGGGACGCAGCCCTCCGTCTCCTGACCTCCACACTCGGGCTGTGGGCTCCAGACGTGGTTTCCTTGGCCTGAGCTACCTGGTTTCATGGTTAAGTTTTAGTTCTGCCCCATCCAAGACGCTCACGGGAAACCTCGCTCGGACAGAAGGTCACCCTCGGGCCACGAAGCATCTGTTCAGGAAGGTGGCCGAGGGCCTCGGGTCCTTGGTCAGCCTCCTCAGCACCTGTCCCTGTAATGTCCCTGTTCGTGTTCCTGTAAGTGAAGTCCGAGAAGAGCCGTCCACGCCTACGCCCCAGGCTCAGCCGGGTGGCCTCACTCGCGAGCCCGCCCAGTGTGGGCACATCTGCCCAGCCTGGGCGTGTCTAGAAAGGGAACCCCGGGGGGCGTGGGGTGGTCATCTCGGTGGGCATTCCGGTGGGCTCCAGGCTGGCTTTGCGGCCAGGATGGCAGCGGGGTCCCGCGTGGGCACATGGCGCGGGAGTGGTAACTGCTGAGGATTCACCACGTGTTTACCCACCTACACGTGCCCGCCTGTGGACCCGGGTCTCGCCAGGCTCCCAGGAAGGGGCTGGGCTGCAGCTGGGCGAGGTCCTGGGGCGGCGGTGGCGTGTCCCCTCCCACCGGCATGGAGGGGACAGTGGCGGCGGTGCGTGGGGGCTCCGTGGGCTGCCTTCCGATGGTCTGTAGACTTCGTGCTTTACCCTGGTGTCTGTGCTCTAGGTCCCGAATGTGCCACCGTGGGCTGTTGCCCTGACCTGGGCCTGCTGTCTGTATGGCTTATTTATTTAAGCCCCTGGGGAGTTTAAGTGATAATTAAGGTGCCCGTGAAGAGATTGTTTCTGCGAACAGCCCCAAAGGGCCGGGTCCCTGGCTTTCTCTGGCTTCCTTGTACATCCTGGGAGGTCAGCCAAGTCCACGGATCTGAAGTCTGGCACAGGCTGAGTGTGTGCGTCCAGACGTCTCCGAGGCGCAGCTGGGCGGCACAGAGGGTCCGCATCACATCAGAGTGACCGCTGGCCAGAGCGTGTGCCAAACCACGGCAGCCGGGCTCGGGGCGTCCACACTCTTGCCCGCCGTGGGTCTGCACCGAGTCAGGTGTCGGGTGGGGGGCGTGCCCAGGGCCCCTTTGCCCAGAGGGCACCTGTGAAGCCACAGCGGTGCTCACACTGGCTGAGGAAGAGCCACCGCGTAGCAGGACCGCCCCTGTGACCCTTAACCCTTGTTCACGCGGCGGCGATGTTCGCGGCACACTGCGGGTGAGGGTTCAACTGCGCCCACACACCCTTTTCTGCACTGAACTTCGTGGAACCCTAACTGCAGCCACTCTAAGTTGGTTCCGTGTCTCTTTTATAGCTTCCTTTGTATGATTTTGTTGGTAGAAGAATAAATTGTATAAACCCGAGCATGTCGAAGAGTCCTGTGCCTCATTCGGCAAGAAGACTTGACAGTTGGAGGGGTGTCCGGACCCTCTGTCCGTGGACGTTTGTGGTCTGATCGGCCAGGGCAGACGCTGGTGGCTCAGGAGCTGTCACTGGAATTGGGCACGAGAAGTAAACAAAGCCACGAATCCGCAGGGAGGTGTCTGACCCCCGTCTTTAGTCATGCTGCGTCATAACGTCGTATTGCTGTTGGCTGAAATTGTAATTCTCAGAAGGGTGGGGTCGGCAGAGAAAACCCGTAATTAGACGGAACCCCGTGTTCCGAAGGCCTACAGTCGGACCCCCGATGGACCGAGCCACCCAGGCGCCCCTCAAGGGAGTGAAACTCCAGCGGGCACGGCGTGGATGAGCTTTGGAAGCACAGAGAAGCCAGTCAGAGGTCAAGTGTCGTTTGGTAACATTTAATGTGAACAGGCCAGGATGGGCCAAGCCAGAGACCGGAAGTGCGGGGTGGTGACAGTTCCCGGGGCAGGCGGGCAGTGAGAACCGGTGACCGACCAGGGCACAGGGCTTCTCGGGGGTGGGGGGGG